TTTCACCCAAATCACAATAAAAATTTTAAAAAAACTTATATCTCCCACTCTTAATAATTAATGTTTCCATTTAATAATAATAATAATAATAATAAGGTTTTAAGGCTAAGTTTTACTCTGGCTACCTGTAATTTTGTCTTTTAGTGATAGTATGTTTTCTGAAGCCAATTAAGTTAAATCCAATCCCCATCAAATATCTGAAATACAGTCAAATCTGTGAAAGCTATAATCTGTGTAAGGTGGAAGCTTGTCAGAAAAGGAAAATTCAGTATTTTCAAATAATAGAGAGTGATAGAAAAATGGTAAGACTACACCCTGACATAGACAAAAACTTGCAAGACCTGGTAAAACAAAGCACCCCATCAAATTCCAGCTCCAGGTTTCAATGCACAACATCTATTTCTCTATCAATCCAGTTATTATCAATTCCTGACAAAAGATTCCCTGTTCTTTCCGTGACAGTAATGCAGTGTGCATTATTTGGTTTGAAACGTCATCAACAGAAATCTAAACTATATTTGATCTGAAAAGAACAGAAGAGTGAGGGGATTTGACTTCCAATTTCCTGGATTTTATCTGTCTGTTAACATAACCTGATAACTAAGCTTAGGTTATGTAATCAGATAGTTTCTGGCAAAACCAAACATTGTTGACTCATTGGACAAATAATCAATCAAAATATTTCATCATTTTCATGTATGTTACCTCAAATCTACAACAAGGTCTTGAACCTTTGGGTCAGCACAAGGTTTTACTCCATCTTGTAGAAACCATATCATATATCCCCATTCATGTATTTGTTGTTGTTGTTGTTATGTGCCGTCGAGTCATACCTGACTCATAGCAACCCCTCCTTGGGTTTCCAAGGCAGTATCACTACGGAAGTAGGATTGCCCAACCTTCCTTCCGAGGAGTGGCTGGTGGGTTTGAACCGCCAGTCGTCTGGTTAGCAGGCAAGTGTCTTAGCCACATGTATTTAGCAGTGTTAAATTATCTGCTTTCAGACTCTGCCCATCATTTCATCTTTTTTTTTTTTTAATTTAGGAGACTCTGATTTAACCATTTAACCAGCAATTGTCATGGAATTCACACTGAGATCAGCACCCATGTTTCTATAATAACTAATTTTTACCTTTAAAATGTTATAAATTTTAAAAATCATAACCTTTTTTAAGATAACAATTCTTTATTCAAACATTGTAGTTGTGATTAAAGAATTAGTTCACTGAACAATTACCCCTCGGACACAAGCAAAGAATCACAATGGTAATTTATGTTGTATATAATAAAGAGGGCTGAGAATAGATGAAGTGATATATCCAAGGTTAGGCAGAAAATTAGCAAGTGGCAGAAACAGGATATAAAACATTTTCTTGACTTTTATTTTTTAAAGCACATTAACTATATATTTCAAGTAAGTATAAAAAGCCCAAAAGACCAAGCCCACTGCCACTGCCACAATTCTGACTCATAGTGACCACCACTGGGTTTCCAAGGTGGTAAATATTTACAGAAGTTCTGTGGAGTGGTTGGTGGGTTTGAACCACCAACCTTCTGATTAACAGTCAAATGCCTTAGGTACTGCACCACCAAAACTCTTGGAAATAAGTATTTAAAAAGCAAAAATATGCTTCTTGAGAATGCAAATTAATATGAATAAACAAATACACTAGATGCATTTACCAAAACATATGTACAAAATGTACATGTGTTGTATGTATACACATCTATACACCCACAAACAAGCACACACATTCTTAGCATGCTACATAACACAGTATTTAAGAGTTTCTAGAGAAATTCTATCTGGATTAAAATACAAGTACGGTCATCTAATTACTGGCTCAAGTTTAACATTTATTTCAACTATGGGAGCTCTGGTAGCGTAGTACCTAGGGCACTTGACTGCTAACCAGAAGGCTGGCGGTTCAAACCCACCAGCCACTCCTAGGAAGGAAGATGGGGCAATCTACTTGAGTAGTGATACTGCCTCGGAAACCCAAGGAGGGATCCCTATGAGTTGGGTCCGACTCGACGGCACATAGTAACAACAACAACAATCTGTTCTTCAGCTTGCCCACTTATGAAAGAAGTGAAAATAGTAGCTTTTTCATGTAGTTGCTATAAGGAATAAGGTGTTAATCACCACAAGCACTTAGAAAGTGACTAAGTACTCAATCAAGATTAGATATAACAGTATATTTATACATGTATGAGGAGCTCTGGTGATGCTTGACTTCTAACTAAAGGGTTGACGTTTCAAACCCACCAACTGGAGCTCTGGTGGCGTAGTGCCTAAGGCATTTGACTGCTAACCAGAAGGCTGGTGGTTCAAACCCTCCAGCCACTCCTTGGAAGGAAGATTGGGCAATCTACTTCTGTAGTGATACCACCTCAGAAACCCAAGGAAGGGTTGCTATGAGTTGGATCTGACTCAACTACAGGCAGTGAGTTTTTTTTTTTTTTTTTTTAACTGCTCTGTGGGACAATGATGTGGCAATCTGGTTCGGTAAAGATTATAGCCTTGGAAACTATGGGCAGTTCTGCTTTGCCCTATAGGGTCACTATGAGTTGAAAACGACTTGATGGCAATGGGTTTGGTTTTGCGTTTTATATATGTGCACATATATGTGCACATGTATTGTCATAATAAATTTATCCTCAGATAATAGCATCTCTTAGGGAATTTTACATCATAATCCCCAATCATTCCTCTTT